ATTAAATAATTAATCAGCGATGCATAACGTTCCCTTGAACGCATTCTATTCCTAAAAATTAAAATATTCGGTTTTTCGAAGCGTTTCATGCTTTATTACGATTTATAAAATGAAGTGCTCATCAACATAGATTAGAACGGCTCCAATTAGCATATACTTATGTACTAGTACATTAATAATGATGAAAAGAAAAATAATTGATATGAAAAGTGTTGGCTTCCAAACTGAATTTATATTGGGATGCACTGTCGAATGCTTTCGAATAAAGGAGCAGATATCCCCCCCCCATTTGATCATTTGAATTACAAATACAACATTGGGTTATAAAATATATCTACAAAATATCTTTAAAAAAGAAATTATACATATATTAAACATGTCTAAAAGTAGTGCAGGCTATGGCATATACTACCCCCAGATACAGTTAAAGAAAACTTGAAAATTCAGTTCTAACAAATTCATTATTCGTTAGCCACCCAGTTGTTTTCGTATTTCTTTCAAAATTATGCACTTTGAAACTTATTTTCATCGTCAAAAGGCTTAAAGTAAATAAATTGGAAGAAAAAAAAAAAAAAAAAGAAAAAAAAAAAAACATAATTCTCAGAATTATGAGAACAAGTTTATCTCTACACCACTGATTTACCTCTTTTAGCACAGATAATCATTATGTAAGAAAACAGGGAACTCAAAAAAATTTCGGTAGGCAAAACATAAATAACCAAATAACCAACCCCTAAAAAAATTAATAAGCTTTCTTCTAATAACATGGATTAAGGAAAGAGGTTCATTTACAATTATTACCTATAGGTTTAAATTAGCATTAAGTTTCTTTCTTAATTTGCAGTGCGATTTTACAATCTGCCATACCCTTACATTAGTTTAAAAAAATACATTCCTTTATATAATTGAAAACTTTTATTTCTTCTCACCATTGCATTTTTATTGCTTGTCTTCTTTACTGCCTTGTCACTTCCTTATATATCTATAACCCAGATACTTACGCTTGCACCTGTATATGGGTACGTATGATACATACGTACCATACACATGTTGCACATACATACACGCAATATCTACGAAACGTTAATTTTTTTATTTTTTATCAACCATTTAAAAAGCATAACATATTTATACTGAGACGAATAAGCAATTGCGCATTTAATCTCTAATTTTGCGCATTTAAATGCACAAAATTTATCCAAATTAATATCTTAACTTACCATGTAATATACAAATAAATTTCTTCACGATTAACAAATTTTGACGATAGCATAAAATCTTAAAAGAGCGTTTCCAAGAAAATATAAATAAATTAATTAATAAAGCATTCTGATAAAAACTTTTACTTCGGTCTTTAGCTCATACAGAATATTTAGTAATTAATACCATTAGTTATTTAAAAATTAGGCAAAACAGCAATCTTTGTTTGGCGTAGATTTTTAAGTATTTAAAGGATACCCAGCCGCAGGTTACTTTTCTTCAGGGGGGAGGGAATTCCAAAAACGTTTGTTACCCAGGACTTTTTTTGTTCCTTAAAAAGAGGGACCTGCGTCTGATCGCTCTTGAAATTGATGTAGTTTTATTCAAAATCTGCGTGAAAAAAAGATTGCTGTTTTGCCTAATTTTCAACTTTAATGTGTTTCTCTTCCAACCTGACCATCCGACTATTTTCCAGTGTCGTGCACAGAGGACAGAAAAACATTACTGTGGAATTCTCGTACCTCAAATTATAATGAATGAAACTTACTAAGGAGTATAAGAATCCTGAATATAAGTAAAACTTTAAAGGAGTTTATATTTAAAATACACCTATAAAATATTATGGTCAGTCAACGTCAGATCATAAAGACAACCATCTTTCAGGACTACCAATCAGACCTTTCTAAAGTACAATTTGGTTGACGAAAAATAATTAAAAATATACTTGAACACTATAGTAAAAAGTTCGTTTAACCACTTAAAGCTCATGCTAAAGCCATCTGTTTAAGTACATTTTGAAATAATTTAGCTGCTATCTTACTTCTGAAGTAAGAAACTGACAATATATTACTTTGTTATGAATGTTACAAAAACATTTTTTAACATTTTGGAAGATCTTTAAATAAGTCTTCGGTGTTTGCACCTCTTTACTCCTCTGTTGCCGCAACTGCTCATTAAAAAATAAAATGTAGAACAACAACATTCTGACTGCCCAAAAACTTTGTTTACATGTGCTTCGCTATTTTCGTTCACTCAGGAATACCATTCTGAATATGGTATGCAAGAAAGTATTTTTTCAGTTTTTGTACAAATTTAGATACTATATCGTCTCAAAAACAGACATCTCATGCAGCAGATACGGAACAGGATGGAGTGGCGTAGCAAAATGATGGAAGTTTATAACTACGTTACTCCTGAAAACAACGTGGAGTCAACATCATGCTCCAGAAATTAAATTGTGTTTAGAAATGTGAAAGTTATGATGCTAAATTTTACATAATTAAAAAATTTAAACAGAGAAATACTATTATTAGAACGCATTAGAAATGTTTTAACATACGTACTATACATGTTGTACTAAGAAAATATTTTAAAAACGTTTTACAAAACTAGCTAAAAACGTGTTTACATTTCAGTTTCACGTTTTTCTTGCAACGTTTTTTTGTCGAATGAGGTTTTAAATAAAGCATCCATAATTGTTATTTAAGCTCTTCAAATTGAAAAGTAGTAATTTTGAAGAAAACGTTGAGTCCCCCATTACCAAATCATAAAGGGGACTGAATAGGGTTCGGGTAACAAACAGGGAAAGCTGGATACGAGGAACTACCAAAAATGGATAAATAAAGTTCATCCACAGACAACACAAAAGACAAAGAGAGAGGAAAAAAAATCATTACAAATTTGAGTTTAATCAAACACAGATCAATTACTATATTTTGAAATTCTAATTACAATACAAAATAAAGGCAAAATTATTTTATTAGAAAAATCCCAGATGATAATACATAATGTATAAGAGCTGAAATATATTGTGAAGGATTATAGAAAATCATAATTAAAATTCAATAATTTGCTTTGAGGAAAAATTAGCGTTATCGTTAGGCTAACGGTTAGAGTTATTGTTTTGAGAAGTGTGACTCTGTCCAAAACAATATAAACTGCCCTTCAAAAGTTTAGGATCAAAGAAGATTTAGGCCATATAGTTCAGCAGAGAAACAGATAAGAAGATTAATTTATTATAACTTGCAGTGATTGCTTACATCGAACTCCTGAGAAGTAGCGTTATTTAGGAAAGCTACGAAGTGATGAAAAGATGACAAAAACATTTTTCACGAATAACTTGGGGAGGGAATAAATACACCTTAACTTGGAACTGATTCCACCCACTTAAGGTTAATACAAACTTGATAGCCTCTCTCAGTGCTGTCAATTAATTTATCTTACATTTCAGTTTTCTGGCATAAAAAACGTCCCAAATAGCGTTACCTCATGTATGCATTTTTATATTACGCATTTTTTGCCGCAGGAGGATATTTTAGACACAGTAAAAATATGAGTAAAAGTTATCAAATGTAATCATATCATTATTTTGCTGCATAAATACCTTTCTGTTACATATCTACTGTCTTGAAGTTTCATTCGAATAAAAAAAAAATTTTTTTTTAAGGCTAAATTTTGGTATTTACGAATAACAGCCTTCTAAGAGAAACATTGTTCAACAAGTATACTTCTGGGTGAACTACATGCCAAAAAATTCGCATATGGCTTGTAAGAGCCTTTCGCCCACCTCCTTTCACACTCTTTAGTTAGAAGAGCGAACTGAAGGTTACATCTGAAATAAACAGATCTGCACTTAAACGAATTTTCAAATTTTATATGACTCCTGTTCTTTACGAAAGTCATTAACGAATTTAAAATTCAATTATGGAAGCTAAGAGGGGGGAAAATCAAATATTTTTTATTATTTGTAACTATTTAGCATCAATTTTTTAAAAATACATAACATTTGCAATTCTTTCAAAAAAATTTTTTTTCAACTTAATTATTTTTAGCACTTTATACAGCAATCATGGACAAATCATAGAGCAACTTCCATATCTTCAATATAAATTAATGGATTTTAAGAGTTTTCATATTTTTAATTTATTAACATTATTTCTTTTTCACTGATTAGGATTAGTACTAATATAGTAGTTTTAATTATTAGTTTGCATTATATTAATTTAAATTCCAATTTAAGATTAAACGCCTTTTTTTTAAACATAAGATATTATTTACCTGTGCATTAAGTTATTAATAAGTTAACTATGAATCACTAAATCCTATTAGGAAAAGATGAATGAATAGATGGTAAAATTGGTGGCTCACAGCCTGAAGAGGTCAAAATGCACCAAATACTTGTTTTTCATAAGGTGAATTCACATGTAAATCCAATTAAAATAACAAAAACATGATATTTATTAAAATATATGGTATTGAAATACAACAACTAACTTTAAAACCAAATCAAATTAAATTGTAATAGTTCAATCTCTCTCAGAGAATGAAACAGATTAACCTCTTTCCCGATTAAACAAACGGCCAGATGGAGATGGACATACCTTGAATGGAAGCTCAAGACCGCTGAAAACGTAGGTCACTATATTTGACATACGCGTTAGGTAAACAACACCCAAAATCAAAATGACTTCGGAAATAGCATCCATAATGTGATTTAGCGCTAAAAATGCAGTTTGAACAGGTGACATAAATAAAAATATCAGCAGTCTTATGGACCTGATAAAATATATTCTCAATGCCTTTGATAACAAATGAATAACTCCCTCCTCCCAAAAACAGTTAATCACGGGCGAACACATCCAACGAATGAATTACACAGTTGTACAACATGGCATGCATAAATTTGCAACAAACTTTAAAGCAGTTTCATCGTATAGCAGGCAAAGAGTGCAGCAGTCTGCATGCGATTCACAAGTTTTACAAGCTAAAACTGCTTTATCATGCAAGAATAAAACACTTACTTGTACCATTAGCATTCCTTGAGAGAATCCTGTTGCTTGCTGATGGTACAACAGTTGCAGCTGTCGGCGCTTGTAGACCGCTGGGGCCTGGACTCGGCCCATGACCAGGCACGGGGCCCGGCCCTGGGCCAGATCCACTATCAGGTGTTACAGGTACAGGACAAGTACTTATAAACTCCCGGACTTGTTGGTCCATAGACAAAGTAATGGAATTTTCTGAACAAAAGAGAAATAGAAAATGTAAATATAAACGACATTTAAAAGTGGTAACTATTTTTATGTTACATGGCTGAAGTTAGACAATACAGATTTTAAAATGATGATTATGCTAGTTATGTAATTTTATTTAGGATATAACGTGAAAACCAACATGAGATCTGCTGCTTTGATGTTATAACTGAGGAAAACAATGTAATTTTACCCCGCTGCGATATATCATTATACTTCGTTACATTTCTTACAATAACAGTATTTCTGTGCGAAATGTTTGTACACTATCCTATAGGAAAAATGAACATTTTTCGGTGGATTTGTGTTTATTTTATGGCAATAAATGGTATATTATACCCTAATTAATGCTATATATTCTTGACGAACCTAACATTTTTAGGTTTTCTGATATTTACAGGCGATGAGCTTTGCTTAAATTTCAAAAATTGCAGTAAATTTTGAGTTTTTAAAAATTTATTGAAAAAATTACAAATTTCAATATTATTAATATTTTATATATTTCATCTCCATCGTAAAGCTCGTAAACTTGAATGTATCAAATATTGCACTATTTTTTTCAAAAAAGAGAGGAAGAATGATGAACAGTTTGGTACTATATTTGAAAGTAAGAAGATTTTCGTTACCCCTAACAGGATTTTTTTTTAAACGTTTACGATATGTACAAAGACTAAGGGAAAAGTTATCTTCCTTGAATTCACCTCTGAGCACAAATGAACAGCAAGAAGACTTTTCTAAAGCAGAGGTACTTAATGCTGTACCTAGACACAAGTCCAAAATTACTATTAAGAGCGGTAACAGAAAATTCACACGATAACAATCCACATAATACACATTTACATCTCTAACAGGGGTATCTGAATCATCATACCCACTTTTCTTTCAGATATAAATGCTTATTTCCACTACTACAATACCGATATGGCTACAAAAATGATCTTGCAAGAAATGCAGCAACTTAAATGCATTTTCTGCAAATGCAAGAAAAACAACTTACACTGAACTCTAAAACTAGCAAAAGTTTTATACGACAGAGGAGATTAATATGGAGTCTCCAGTTAAACTTTATATAACATTTTTTTTAATAACAGTAGCTCAGTGCAGTTTACCGTGTCAACTAACGACTTACTTTAGGCTACACTAGTGACAAGGCACGTTATAGCCAGTGCAAGAAAAAAGGACTTCCAAAATAACTGAATAATTAAAATTTTTTTTAAATCTTTTTAAAACAGCGGAAACTTCACTAAAGCAGAAAATTATATTAACTAAGCTGGTCTTTTAGGCTATTTAATGACCCCGAGCGCATAAGTAAAAATTTGCAAAATAGTTCTGGATTGGATGAACTAGTATCCTAAAAAGCAAGAACAAGAAAGAGCAAAGATGAATTTAACTCTTAGCAAATTAATATCATTGCCCCATAAAAAGCACATATGGACTGAAGCTGCTTATTTACATAAAGAGTAAGATTCAAAGAATAATATACATTTCGCTTTACAAAAACATTTCATTCTCAGTGTCACACCTACCCCAAGGGGCAGCCCATGAGAGTTTTGCTGAATTCGGTGCAAAAACAACCCATATCAAAGATGCATTTGATCTTGACCTCTATTAACCTAGTTTCACTTTTCTTTAAGTATCCCTTATTTCTCAAATCACCGTCTTATGTTCTCTCCGTGATTATTTGTGATTTTATCTTAATCAATTATTGACTTTATTTAAAAATGTGTTGTGTTGCGGTTATCATGAATGAAACAGAAATTAAACTAGAAGATTAAAATCCGACCCAAAACAATTGACTTGAGAGTAATCGTCAAAATTTACTTTAAAGTTTATATAAATTGTTAGCATAAATAACTGTTATACAGCGTTAGTTTGATATATCTATATAATGCAGAAAAGAAAAACTTTTATAACTTTTTTAGAACAGTCAGAACATGGCACTTCAAAGTAAGAGCACGATAAAATATAATAGATTAAAAAATAAAATTTAAAAAATAAAATAAAACAAGTTGTTGCATATCTCGTAATATCACTTCGAGGAAAGAGGGTGGTGTCACGAGATACACATGACAAACACGTTTCTGAAATTAAATAATGACTAATTTAAATATAGTAGAAAATTAACCCCCCTGCAAGGAACGACTAACACATTATGTTCAAGAAATATGACATTATACTAATCGCAAGTTTTGCAACAGAAAAGTGATAATGCGAGCGTTGAAATGAGGTCTTATGGGTGCACAAACACAACCCATAGAATTATTATACGCCTGCGAAAGCTTATTATTATTATTTTTTTTTTATTTAACCTTGTTTGCCCAATATAAGAAGCAAATAATCTTCTTGCAATTATTAACAACATACGCTTGTGAATAAAAATGGCTAGAAATTAGGATCAATCAAGCTTCACACGAAAGATCAAATTTAACATTAATTCAACTAACAATTAGTAATGTACAATAAAAACGTATAACAGTTTTACCTTTCTTACGTTTCTGAAATACAACAGATATTGTAAACGTCCACAGGGTTCATTTTCTCCCGCTTACATAATTATAAACAGGTTCTCCTGACCTTTTCACTTTAAAAAATTTTTAATAGTTTCATGTGTCTCCCTTTTCATAAATTTAACAAATCAAATCGACTTTAGTACTTCCTGCGGAAAAATTATTCCTGGATTACAGAAATATTCTGAATAGCATACAGTCTTTCACTCCAAAACATAAAGCAGAAAATATTTATAAATCTCTTCACTACTAAATTAAAACATGCTTCCTCCTCATAGTGTATTTCTCCATCTTGCCAACATATTTCAAGCACATCACGAAAAAATAAAAAAATAAACCATACACAAACACTTCTGAAGTTCAATTAACCAACGCACGCAAACGTCAAGAATAAATAAGCTAATTTTAAAATTAATCTTCCTCCTATTTTCATTTCAGACGCAATGCACTTTTCAATACGTTAGATGTCAAAAACACCAAAATCTAGCAAGTTTATAAAGCTAACATAAGTGGTGAGCATGGTAGAAATATTTCCCTTTCATTATTTGCTTTCAAGCAGAATTATCTTCCGTAATACCAACCATAAATTGTTTTGAATGTTATGGCCATATTCTTGAAAAATGGAACGGAAGCAACGGTAAAGTTTTTAATCAACTTACTATTTTGACTCCTGTTTTACCTCAAACGTTTCAGTCTTCCTGGAAATAACGCGTTTTTGAGATTTCCCCCTTCTCAAATTGATATATTTAGATTCACAACCAAACATTATTATAAATTATAGCGATAATGAAGGCTTTTGGCGACATTTAAAATTACACCACTTCTTCTTTTAGGCATAAATCTCTCAGAATTGCAACCATCACAGCAATGCCATCTACTTAACTCTGCTCCAGAAACCCTGTCTTTTTGAAAACGACAAAATTCTTGCACATTACCTTAGTGAAATTTCAGTTCCAGCTTCAGAAGCAATAAAATTTTCTTCCCCATACTCTGAATAATGAAAATATTATAAGAAAACTGGTAGGCTATTCCAAGAGAATATGAAGCATTATGCATAATAACCACTCACGATGAAGAAATATTTCTTCATAACATGTTTATATAAATCTTTAAAAGACAGATAGTTTATTACAGAAAAAATTTTCCAAATTGGACAGGATTTTTTTTTCTTTTCTTTTTAACAAACGCAGCATATGTTTTATTTTCTGCAACAGATTTAATTATTACAGCGATATTCACACTCACTGCTAATAAAATTCTCTGTCAGTATCAGAAAATTAATTTCCTCTCTGATAAATCGAACTCATCAGAATAACAAAAATATTTCTACCTTTGAACTCTAAAACGTATAGAAACAAATGTACTACAAGCATTTCCTTCTCGCTTAATTAAAAAAGTAAGATAAAGGTCTCAACATTTTATACAGATTTCGTACATAATTCTGTAGGTCTTTTAAAAAGAAACCATTAATTTATATTCCATAAATGTTTCAGATAATTCTAGTGAAAGATTATCTCTCTGCTAAAATAATTTTCAATGCATCACCGTTAGACATTTAAAATTAATTTAACAAATTATTAAATGACACGCAGTATGCTACGAATTTAATCGAATAATTGAGAGGTAATAATTAAATTACAAATTAAATCAAGAAAGGTGCCAATTGTCAAACCGTAAGTACCTACAACAAAATTTAAACAAAAACAATTCAATTAAATAACATAAAATTAATATAAGATTAATAAGGAGGTAATCGTTCTAATTTGAAAATTTTAGTTCAAAGATTTTTCATTTAATATCTTATTGTGAATTTAGCTACCCCTCTATTTACTTTTATCACGTTGCTGAGTTTAAGAAAATTCACATAATATTTCTTGAAAAAGACCAAGGAATTTTTAACAATTTTTATGTTAATTTCATTATTACGTATTATTATTTTTTTGTAATGTGTACTTCCGGTTAGACACGATTCGGCCGGCATTAAGACCTTTTCTCCCCCCTCGCACCGGTAATTTTTCCATACAGTCCAGTTTAATTCTGCAGTAGGTATGAATAACAGCTAGTCAGAAGACTAAAAAGGGTAATCCGTTATCAACATCAATAAAGTTTCAAGAAATTTTATAATTAAAGAAATTTATTTTAAAACGAGACGCGGATATGTTATCAGAGAAAAAAAGCATGGGAGCTTTTGTGCTTTTTTTAACCTAAAGTGAGGCGAATGAGAATATATTAATCTATTATTTATATACCAGCTCCTTTGTATACAGCTTAGCAGTTTTGAAGATTACTTAATAATGCATATATCATTTAGAAAGAACAAAATTTGAACTTAAAAAAGCCGATATTTACGAGTTCGTAACAAACAAAATCACAATACGTTTATATTTTTAACAGAAACAAAAAAATCAAATTCAGATGCGTTTCCGACTTCTTTTTCTATTTATATACACACACTTGAAAGAAGTCTCCTCCACTAAACAT